ATCCCTCTTCTATCCGCCTCCCACTCTCTCCCTATTTATTTCAAAACCCCCTTCCCCTCCCCCTTTTCTGATGAAGGGTCTAGGCCCGAAACGTCAGCCTCTCTGCTCCTATGATGCTGCTTGGCCTGCTGTGTTCATCCAGCCTTGCACCTTGTTGTCTCGGATTCTCCAGCATCTGCAGTTCCTACTATCTCTCATATAATACGTGGATTCATTTAGCACTTTAAAAGTTTAAAAAAAACAAAGACACTTCAAAGAAGCAGAATCAAAAGAAGTCAAAGAAGGACAACTGAAGTAAAATCCTAGTCAGTGGTAGATTTTAAGAAGTATGTTAATGAAAGTGTTGGAGAAGAAAGGAAGTTTAGGGGAGTGCTTCTCAAATCTTTTCCCACTGTGACCCCACTTCAGAACTTAAATTGTTGCGAACCCCATTGTGTAGTGAAGGAAGGGAGAAGACCTGTGGGAGCAGCACAAGGGTCACTTTGAAGTTTGTGACCCAACAAGGTATTGAAGCAAGGTCCAGAAAGGTGAAGACACATATGCCAATGAAGAGGTGAAAGAAATTAGCAAAGCACAAGAGATTCTCAAACACCAGACTCCTACCTACTCCAATTTTAATCACTCTTATCACTTTGTTACTTTTCAGATGTCCAATACCTAGTCATACAAACTGACTTTTCAAACTTCTCTGGCTTCCTACTCCCATCTCGGCTCCTTTCTTTAAATAAGCTGTCCTAATTTTTTTTTTACATGGTTCAGTGCAAAATTCTGCTTAATAATGCTCCTGAGAAGCCATTTATTGAAGATGCCTATAAAAATACAACTGTTGTTATGAGGTAAACCTCATGACCAGGATGAACTGGAAGACAGCCTGAGGACAAACAGGAAATAAGTTAAGGATAGATCCCAGAGTAGGCAAGAGGAACACTGCAGCAGCTGAGGTGGTTGCATATTTGGAGTCACATGTGGGTAAACCAGGTCAGGATGGCAGATTTCCTTCCATTGTGGACATTAGAGAACCAGATGGGTTCACTATAACTGAGATTTTTAATGCCAGACTTTATTAATTGAAATTGCATGGCTACCACAGGCCTCTGCCATACTCCTTGAACTTATTAAAGTACAGAACGAAGTAGACAGGGGAACTTGTGAGAAAGCTACCCTTACAAACTAAGTCTTATTTTTGCATTCCCGGATGATCTTGACAACTGGGCGGTACGGACGAGTACAGCACTAAAACCCACAATAGTAGTATAGTCAGATTAGCCCATACGTCTAGCAAAATTGGATACTTTGAAATCTGCACCAGTTAGGCTACAGAGCACAAAGATGGAACCCGTAAGAGACCCAATTTAACAGAGGTATTTCTTTTAGATATTTGAAGTCAAGTATTTCACAACAAGTCCGAACAAAATGTATAAACGAAAACTCAGGTACAAAAACAAAACACGACCAATGCTGGAAATATGAGAAGAGAAATTGCTGACATTTCTCAGCAAGCAGCTGAACTGCTACACTGACCAAATACTTAAAGCATTTTTTTTTCATTGACGCCAACTAATATTTTACCTTCAAAACACAAGTGTAATTCACTTTTTCGTCCAATAGATGTAACTTTTCACGGACCCCAAAGTATTACATCGCTTGTAGCACCCACATGCGTTTAAAATGAAAACTACTAAATCGCAAACGTACAGGTAAAGTGCATAAGTGTTGACTCAAAATATTCAGCTTACCAATCGACCCGCAACCAGGCACCCGAACATTATCTCACCAAATACACCACCCCTCTGTAATCAGAGCGCAGCTCTCGCCAATATCTGACATGTCACAAATCCTTCTCCCGTCCCCTCCTCCTACTGCCCTACCACTGCTCACTGAACTGGGCAGAAGTTTCTGGAATCCTCACTGCGCCGCCGCCACTGCCACCAGTAGGACCGCCCTTTCACCCGGAAACAGTTTGCGCATCTGCTTTTTAGCCCCACTGGAGGCTCTGGATTATGGTTTGTAAACGCTGTGCGTCGAGGGTAATTTATCTTTTATGTATATATCTGCATTGTTTGGATTTTGCGTATCCAGTACGGTTACATCCAGCAACTTTAATCCATTTCTATTTGATTTCGTTGACGCTGAAAGTTGATTTTATTAAATTTTAGCTCGCCAGCTAAACGTAACACCAGAAGGCACTCTCCTTAAATCGACTGTAGTTCGGTGGGGGTTGTTTTGTAAAGTTCTCCGTGCTACACTTGCAGACATTAGGTTTTTGATTGTAAAGAGCCCGGTCTTGGAAGCAGAAGCCGTTCCCAGGTTGTGCTCAGTCTGGCCATTTTTTTGATCCACATTTTAGGGTTACGGTTTGGGAGATAGATTTCCAAGTGTTAAATGCTACGAGAAATGAATAAGATTTGAAGTCGTTTAACTGCCACAGTTTCAGGCAGTGAGCTCATGACCACATGCTCGCTGAATAAAAATGCCGTCACTTCTTTGCTAATCGTTTCCGATATTATATAACTTAAGACTTCAGCTAAATCGTGGTTCCTAATTTTGATGAAATGCATGTTTAAGATAGGAGAAATAACCAGACAATAAATAAAATTAGTGAGGGGGATTACGTAGGGAGAGACAAAATAAATTAGAGGACAAGGCAGTGGTGCAGGATAATGATATCCGTAGTAATATACAGCGTGGAGTGTATAAACTAAAAAAAGTGCAGCACCTGACAGAAATAGAGTTTGATGATAAAAGGACTTAACTAAAGCCCCTGTCTTTGTTATGAATGTCAAAATGAATAAATTGATAGCATAAAAAGAAATAAATATGTACCATCTCAGTCATTTCAGAGGTGTACCTGGAAGTTGGTGATCAAGACTTTAAGGTGTATTTGACATTTTGGAAGGACAGGCAGCTTGAAAACGGTGATGGGGTAGTTCTGTTAATTAAGGACAACATTAGTTCAGAAGACCAAGATATACAAATCAGTGCATCTATATATAAATAGCTGGACCTAGAAGTAAGTGGTGAAAACCTGAAGGATCTTGAAATAATATTTGGAGAATATTTCCTCATTTGGAAGAATTTGAAAGTAGGGATTTCACTATCTAAAAGTCAGGAGTCACCCATTTAAATCAGACAACAGGCAATCTTCTTTACTTTCAAAGTCGTGAGTATTTGGAACTCTCTTCATAAAAAGGCAATGGAAGCAGTGTATTTGAATATCTTTAAAGGTAGATATAAACAAATAATTTTAAAGTAAGTAAGTGAAAAATTATCAATAGTAGATTTGAGGTGACAATCAGATCAGCCCTGATCGTATTTAATGGAGGAGCAGGCTTGAGGGGCTGAATGACATGTCTAGTTCATATGTAACGGTATAGTGCCAGTTGAGGAGCTTGATACTTTGGATATGATAATGTGTAATGAAACCGATTAATTAATGGTCTCAGTTTAAAAAAGTCTCTACACAACAGTAAACAGGGTAGAATTTACATTGTTTGAGGCTGAGAAGTGTGGGTCTAGGATTGTCTTAAGCTTAAAGGCAATTACAAGTGTACTGCAAATATGTTAACAGGTGGGACAAGAAGCAAGCAGTAACAGGCATTTAAGCAACTTTTTAAGCTTTTAGGAAAGGTATATCCACCTTGAAGCAAATTCTAAGAATACGTCATTATGACGAAGGAAGTTCTGGATATATTAAATTGAAAGAAAATCAAATACTATGAAAATTATTCGAAGGTCATAAGATTGGACAGCTGTTAAAAGCCAGCAAAAATTATAAAAAAAGGGAATAATTTAGGACCAAGAAAAAACTACATAGAAATACATAAACACGGGGCCAGAGTTTCTACAAACACATCTTGTGGCACAGTGGTAATGTTCCGAACTGGTGAAGAGGTCCCAGATTCAAGTCACATCTGCTTTAAGAGGTGTATGATAATACATCTCAACAGGTTTATTCAAATACTTTTAAAAAAGATAACAAGCAACCAAAGTGGACGCGAATCTTTTAAAAGGGAGATACTGGGAAATTAATAATGGAAATCAAAGAAGTGGTAGAAGAGTTCATCAGATATTTTGTATCTCTTCACTGCAGTAGACAGAAAAAGGTGCCCAAAATACTTGGAAATCAGGGGGGAAAAGAAGGGAGGAACTGAAAACAATTACAGTCATTAAGAAAAAGCTACTGGTAATACTATTGACTAAAAGCTAACAAGTTTCTTGTACCTAATGGCCAGTATCCTAGGGTGTTAAAAAATGGCTGCAAAGTTAGGAAATGCCTCGCTAGGGATATTCCAAAATTCGCCACATTTGGGACATAACCCTTCTGTTCAACAGAGGAAGGAGACGGTAAACTATATAAAAACCAGAAGAACTGTGGGTGCTGTAAATCAGGAACAAAAACAAAAGTTGCTGGAAAAGCTCAGCAGGTCTGGCAGCATCGGTGAAGAAAAAATCAGAGTTAACATTTCGGGTCCAGTGACCCTACCTCAGAAACAGACCCAAAACATTAGCTGATTTTTTTTTTCTTCACAGATGCTGTCAGACCTGCTGAGCTTTTCTAGCAACTTCTGTTTTTGAGCAGTAAACTACAGGCCAATAAACCTAGCAGGTCAAAGGAAAAATGCAGGAATTCATAATTAAGTATTTAAAGCAGGACATTTAGAAAATCATCCAATCTGGGAGTTGATGTGAAAAATAAATTATGATTGAATAAATTATTAGAGTTTTTGAGCAGTAACAAGCAAGGTGAATAAATCAGAACCTATTGATGTGGTGTACTTGAGGTTTCCAAAAGATATTAAATAAGGAGCCACAATAAAAGGTTATTGCACAATGTAAGAATTCATGGTATAGTGGGTAACATATTAATGTGGCATGCAAATCAGGTACACACTGTATGAAGGTCATAAAACATGGGTTCCTTATTCTGTGTGTCAAGTATTTATAATCTCTTAACATTAGATAATCATAGCTGATGCTCCAGGTCCAATGTTTAACTGCTAATCTCTAATCAGCTGAGTAGCAGCATTCAATTGGTAGAGCTCTTATTTTTGACTTTCCATGATGTGGAGGTGCCAGGTGTGACTGGGGTGGACAAGGTCAGAAGTCTCACAACACCAAGTTATGGTCCAACAAGTTTATTTGAAATCACAAACTTTCATAGCACTGCCCCTTTATCAGATGAAGTTCAGCTGATGAAGGGGCAGCGCTCTAAGAGCTTGTGATTTCCAGTAAACTTGTTTGACTGGAACCTGGTGTCATGTGACTTTTGATCATGAGACCCACATTACCTTGTTTCTCAGAGATGAAGGGGATCTCTCACGACGTCTTGAACTCCAGGGTGCTGTCCAACTGCCCACCAAGGTCTCCAGCAGCTGCTTGCCCACCTTTCTGCCACTTTCCAGTTCTCTAGCCACTGTTATAAAACTTTAATCTGCCCTTGCTATTGCTTTGGCTCCTCAGCACTGTGACTTACCAGTCCTTGACATCTTGCTGCCATTGCTAGTTATTGCCCTTTCTTTCTCTTTCCAATGCTTCTTGCCCACCCCTTCTTCAGACTGTGCTATAGGTTCAGCCTCCATACTCAGCCTACTGGTTGTTACACTGAATGCCTCATGCAGCGCCCACACAATTCACCAATCCTCCAACCAGCATCCTATCCGGATGCACCACCACTTGGGTATTGCAACTGCTGTGCCCAAGACTGCAATAAATTAGAGTTGTGAAAGCAGCCCAGTCCATCACAAAAACCAGCCTTCTTTCCGTTGACTCAGTGTACACTTTTCATTGGCTCGGGAAAGCAACCAACATAATTAAGGACCCCTCCCATTCTGGTTATACTAGCTTCCATCGGGCAGAAGATACAGAAGTTTGAAAACACATACCAGATTCTAGAACACCTTCTTTCCCACTGTTATCAAGTTCACGAACAGACCTCTCATATCCGAGTTGATCTTTCCATGCAGCTTTTTCTGTAGCTATAACACTCTATTCTACATCCTGTTTTATTACTGTGATGTGCTACCGTATGAAGGGTCTAGGCCCGAAACGTCAGCCTCTCTGCTCCTATGATGCTGCTTGGCCTGCTGTGTTCATCCAGCCCTGCACCTTGTTGTCTTGTATGGTGTGATTAGTCTGGTTATCACACAAAACGATAGTTTTCACTGTATCTTGGTGTGTGATAATAATAAGTCCAATCAAGGTGGATAAGTTCTGCTGACAAAGGGTCTTGTGCCTGCAGGAAATGCCCCTCAGCACGCAAATCACACCATCCAATCCTGCAAAGTCCAATATTAGGATATTCAGGTCCCATTCACCTCCCTCACTGCACGGATAGAGATTGGACCATTAATAGGAAGCAAAGAACAGTGATAATTGAGACAACAAGGTGCAGGGCTGGATGAACACAGCAGGCCAAGCAGCATCATTGAGTCATTTTTAGGTTGGTAAGTTGTTACATATGGTGTTCCATGGGGACCAGTGTTGGGCCTGACCTTTTACAATCTACATGAATTACTTGGTTGAATGGTCTGTGTATGGAAGTTAAATTTGCTGATGACAAAGATAGATATGAAAGTGGATTACCAAAAAAGTATTAAAAAAAGTCTACTAAGGGATTTTAAAGTAAGCTAGTAGCTATCTACATTAGTAGATATTTGAAGGAAATCAAGGACTATTGGGGACAGACAGGGAAGTTGAGGTCCTATTCAGTTCAGCCGTAAGATGCTCAAGGTGCCGAATGATCAACCTCTGCTAAATCTTGTTTTCTTATGTTTACTGTAGGGAACCTATTGGAAAAAGGTGCTGAGGTGACCTACACCCAAATCCTGGATTAGCAGTGATATTGACTTTGCAACTGTCAGCATTCCCTGTCATTACTTAGCCAATTATAGAACTCTTGCCTTAAACCAATGGTTGTGGGTTCAATTTGCACTCGAGGCAGTTGAAGGGACTATCTTTTGAATGAGACATCAAACTGAGGCATCATTCGCTGCTCAGATAGATGTAGAAGGTACCATGGCCCAATTATCTATTTCAGTTTTCCTCAAATTGTTCTCCCCACAGCAAAATTTAAACTCCTGGAATCATAGGCACCAACAACATTCAGAGAACATACAGCTGAACAGGCAGATTCTTGAACTACAGATTTTTGGGCACAAGGGTACAAAGTAGCTGATGAGTGCAGATCTCCTCCAACTACATTATGTCTGTCCTAAAAGAACTCCACTTGAAATGTCACTAATTAATCAAAGTTTAGGTCAGCATTCATGGTGTTTATGTCTTTGAAGTGCTTTCAATTATCAAGACATGGTTGATTAGTTAAGACTGATATGAGGAACAATGTCTTCCCTCAGAACTGCGAATGTTTGGAATTCTTCAGCCCAGGTGGTAGTGACTAGTCAGTCATGGAGTATTTTCAAAGCTGAGATGCGTAGATTTTAAGACTTTAGGGCAGTATTTGCTAAATTATTTTCCAATATCGTGCTATTTAAACAATTCAAAATGAACATGACCCCAATGTCGGTAAAGAAAATGCAATAAATCATGAAAATGGATGGTAATGGTAATTGCATGAAAGGAGGTGAGGATAGAATAATTAATGGTGCAGAGCCAGGTAAAGATACATGAGCAGGCACTCAAGTTCTAGTGATTAGGAGGATAACAAAATGACATTCTTAGACCACCACCCCCCCAACTCTGTAATGACACCCTGGCCATTTAACAGCCACTGACTCGTGTGGAACATTACGTCACCCTCAGACAAAGTATCTGATAGATTATTTTGTTAAGCAACAGAACTATGGAACGAGGGGGTGTGAATGGAGTTATGGTACAGCGTGTACATTATTTAATTGAGTGGGGAATCGAGCTTGAGGGGTGAGCAGCCTGCCTCTGTCCCTTTATTCCTCTTCCGATGTTGACTGCAGGATCTCCCTGATCATTGAAAGAGTACATGGCCAAGAGAAAAATTAAGATTCAACACATGGGGGGAGATACATTGATTGTTAAATTTATGTTGCAATATTAGACAACTGCCATTATATTCCCAATGACAATTGTGAACTGGTAAACAATGTCAACTGGAAAATTAGCAACCTGCCATATTACTGAAATGCTACATGGGGACAGCTATGTATTACTCCAGAGCTAAACCACTCGGTTAAGACTGGCGAGTGACAAAGAATGAAGAGCATCTGATATGTTTGTGCAACTTTGCATGAATTCTAAGGCCAGTGAGTCTCAAAATCCATTTACTTGAGATTCAGACTTACCACAGGCGTGATAACTCAAATGTAATATGGTCAACCAACCATTTAATGAACATCTGATGCAACAGCGAGGTGGCTTTTTCTAGCAGGCTGACATATGCGCTACATTGACTGTGAAGTTAAGGCTAATTCAGGACCGATGCAGGAGATTGTTCTCCATGCAAGGAGCAATCAAAACAATGGATAGACTTCCAGCTGTAGTGAAAAGGCCTGGAATGAAGGAGCAATTTCTTTAGTAGAAAAATACATGATTATTAATGGGTTCCAAGGAAATGGAAGAAACTATGAGCAAGTGTTTTGTATCTTTCTTCATTGTAGACATAGCACCACTTTTGACAAAGGGAGGACCCAATAGATCAGTTAGTCTAATCTCTGTCATTGCCACATTTGAGAATCGATGATGAAGGAGGTAAATAAAATCAGGCAAGGTGAACATGGTTTTGTAAAAGGGATTATTTTGTTTGGCAAATGTATTAGATTCATTGAATATAGTGGATGAAGGGAACCAGTGAACGGGATTTTCTGATCTGGTGTCAGGCATCAGAAGATTTGAAAAACCAGCCACCACCCTTTCCCTTCCCAACCTTTCATGATAAAGCCCCTCATCCACCAGCCCCCCGCCCCCAAGATTTTGGGCCTGTCATACAACTGAATGGTCACTTGGCAGGGTTTTCCTCACATCACTTCCTGGAAATGCAATGCCATGTCCTGCCCGAAGCTGCTGGCTAATTAGAGACCAGCAATCGTTAGTGAAGAACAGTGCTACCTCCGTGACTAAAGGTGCAGGTGTTAAGAGCAATTCCGAAGTCCAGGAGCAGTGGGAATGGACCACCCAGAGTCCTCAGTCAAGGCAAAAGGCAGTGGGTTCTGCCTCCTATGTGGTGACCCTGACCTGTTACTGCTCCCCTGACCCAAAATATATTTCAGGAAAGTGCCATCCTTACTACCTGCTGCACAAGTTCACCTGCGCTATCCTGGCAGCTGTTACATCCCATCTCAAGCAGAAGTGAAGACTGCACTTGACCAAGTATGCAACACTACAAACAGTCTTGAGTTGGAATACCCCAAGGCCTCGTTCATCATAACTACATGAAAGGTTAATGCACATAAGAGCTCATTGTATTAGTGATTTATCAGAATGGTTAGAGGATTGAATAATCAACAGGAGTTGAGTTGCAGTGAATGGATTATTTCCAGCTTGGCTAACTGCAACTCATGGAGCACCCAGTATAGGTTTTGAGCCCTCAACTGCTTCTGATCTACGTTCATGCTTGTGTGAAGAAATTGACCGTATTGTTGCCCGACGTGCTGTTGAATCAACTGTAGATCAGAGCAAATTGTGAAAGACACACAAAGTGTTCGCAAAGAACTAGCGCTGGATTGAAGTAAAGTTTGCATAGTCTTACCAGACCATAGAGCTGAACTCTCATTAAAAAGAGACAACTGGTGGTGGTTTAATCTAAGGCTCATCATGACTCAGGTGATGGGAAAGGATGAGAAGGAGTGTCCTTCATGGTAACCTCAGCTGCTGTGGGAATTGATCCCACATTTGTGGCGTCACTCTGCATTGCAAACTAGCCAGTGAGTATAATATGGGAAAATGTGAGAAACTCTTTGGCAGGACGGATAAAAAAGGCAAAATATTATTTAAAAAGACAGTCAGCATAGATTGGGACTCTATTCATAGGAGTTCAGAGCAATGAGAAACGATCTTAGTGAACTATCTACATTTCTGAGAAGGATAACAGCTGAGAAGATGTCTCCCTTCTTGGGGGAATTTAGAACCAGGAGATTCAGTTTAAAACTTAGTGGTCTCCCCTTCAAGATGAAGATAATGAGGAATTTTTTCTCTCAAAACACCAACACTTTATAGAATTCATTGTCACCAAGAGCAGTAGAGGATGTCTCATTGAATATATTGAAGATTGAGTTAAACCAATTTTTGATTGACAAGGGAGTGAAGACTTGCAAGAAAAATGTTGTTGAAACCACAATCAGATCAGCCACAAATCCACAATTTTATTGAATGTCAGAATTGTCTCGATGGTACAAATGGCCTAGTCCTCCTCCTATTTCTTAGAATCTCATATAGCACGTTCCATGGCCTCAGCGTAGTACAAAGCCCGATACAGCCACGAATGTAGGAAACATGGCATTAGTTTGGGCTCAGCAAACAGTAATGACTTGATAATTGATGTTTGTGATGTTGGTTGAGCAATAAATTATAGCCATAACAGGAAGGATCTCTCTCCTGGTCTTGAGCGAATGGTGCAATGGAAACATGCAGGTTTACTAGAAGTGGCAAACAGCATCTTGATCCAATATCTCACCTGACAGACAGCACCTCCAACAGTGCTGCACGCCCTCAGTACTGCACTGGAGTGTCAGACAGAATTTATGTTCTCAAGTTCCTGGAATGGGTATTGAACCTACAATGGGTTTTTTTTGAAGGGGAGGTTGTGTCTCATCAACTTAGTGGAGTTTTTTGAGGAAGTGACAAAGATGATCGATGAGGGTAGGGCAGTAGATGTTGTCTACATGGACTTCAGTAAGGCCTTTGACAAGGTCCCTCATGACAGACTGATACAGAAGGTAAAGTCGCACGGGGTCAGAGGTGAGCTTGCTAGATGGATTAAAAAACTGGCTAGGTCATAGAAGACAGAGGGTAGCAGTGGAAGGGTGCATTTCTGAATGGAGGGCTATGACTAGTGGCATTCCTCAGGGATCAGAGTTGGGACCTTTGCTGTTTGTAATATATATAAATGATGTTGAGAAGAATGTAACTGGTCTCATTAGTAAGTTTGCCGATGACACAAAGGTTCGTGGAATTGCGGATAGCGATTGGTGGTGACTTGGGCAGAGAGATGGCAGATGGAGTTTAATCTGGAAAAATGTGAGGTAATGCATTTTGGAAGGTCTAATCCAGATGGAAAATATACAGTAAATGGCAGAACCCTTCAGAGTACTGATAGGCAGAGGGATCTGGGTGTACAGGTACACAGGTCACTGAAAGTGGCAACACAGGTGGAAAAGGCAGTCAACTAGGCATACGGCATGCTTGCCTTCATTGGCTGAGGCACCGAGTTTAAAAATTGGCGGGTAATGTTGCAGCTTTATAGAACCTTAATTAGGCCGTACTTACAATATTGTATACAATTCTGGTCGTCACGCTACCAGAAGGATGTGGTGGCTTTGGAGGGGGTACAGAAAAGATTTACCAGGATGTTGCCTGGTAGTGAGGGCATTAGCTATGAGGAGAGGTTGGAGAAACTTGGGTTGTTCTCACTGGAACGACAGAGGTTGAGGGGTGACCTGATAGAGGTCTACAAGATTATGAAGGGCATGGACAGAGTGGACAGTCAGAAGCTTTTTCCGAGGGTGGAACAGTCAGTTACAAGGGGCCATGGGTTTAAGGTGCGAGGGGCAAGGTTTAAAGGTGATGTACGAGGCAAGTGTTTTTTTTTTTTACATAGAGGGTGGTGGGTGCCTGGAACTCACTGCCGGGGAGGTAGTGGAAGCAGATACTATAGTGACTTTCAAAGGGTGTCTTGACAATACACGAATAGGAGGGAATAGAGGGATATGGTCTCCGGAAGGGTAGGGGGTTTTAGGTGTGATGGGCAGCATGTCGGTGCAAG